GGGCAGCAGGGACTCACCGGGGTGGGGCCTGCGCGGCGGCCACGCTCACCCCGGGGCCACCGCAGCAGGACAGGTGTGCCCGGGAGCCAGCGGCCACCGCGCTCTCGCCGGCACCAGGACCCGCAGCTGGCCGGTCGGGGCGGCTGGAGACTCCGTTCCCAGCCCTGCCTGCCCTGGGGCTCTCAGCAGACGGCGCCACCTCTTTGAGCCCCAGTTTTCCCTCTCCGTCAAACGAGGCTGCTCCCCCGAGATACCGCAAAGATCCAGCGCAGCGATGTGCTGGGACGCAGCAGGTGTGACCAGATGGCCGTGTTGCCGGGGACGCCGCCGTCGCACGCCGGTTCCGCTGGGAGGGTTTGTTAGGGCAACTGATGTGAGAACTTTCAAGAGCTATGAAATTAATTGGAGGGTGTTAACTGTAGATACAAAGTAGCAGAAGAAAATTAGCTCTAAAGAATCAGAACAAAGCAATTATCGAGAAGGAAAATGATGTCGAGGAGAAGGCAGACGCACGCCGACAGCTGTGTCGCGGAGACCCAGGTACGCGTGGCCAGCGAGGGCCTTGGGAGCTGGAGGAGGCCGGCAGGGCGGCAAGGCCTGGCTGAGGGGGTGGGAAACTGAGGCTAGCGGGCATGCGGAGGCCAGGGCTCCCCAGCAGCGGGCTCGACAGGAGGTGAGGGAAAGGGCCGATTCTGGTCTCTGTCCTGCTCTGTGTGATTTGAGCACGTCACGAAGGAGACCGTGACCCCTAAGATCCTTCCCGGCTCCCAAGCCAGGCATCTAAGTCTCTGGCATGCACGGATGGAAGGGACGTGGGATGGAACAGAACTAGGCTGGGGTCCCCCTCTGGGAGCCGCGAGGTCCGTCTGCCTCAGCGCTCCCATCCGTCAAATGGGAAGGGGAACCCGCAGAGGCGGCCGGTGGGGGGGTGAGGAGAAAGCACGTGAGTCGTCGGGCTTAGCTGGCGTTGGCAGCTGGTGTCCTGCCCTGGGCCCTCTGCCCTCTGTGACGCTGGGGTGGAGTTGACACCCCTCCCCGCTTCACCTGGCTTCTTGGGCCGGCCAAGACAGACAGCACAGCCCCTCCTCCTGACCACGGTGTTGGGTTTAGGCACCGGGCGTGTGACCCGAGTAGGCCAATCGGAGAGAGTCTCGGGACATTTGCGGGGAATGCCCAACCACGGTCTCCCCCATGTTCAACAGGAAGTTTCAGGAATGGCTCGATGTCCTCGCCAGGCATCCTGGATCCAGCCGGACCCGAAGCTAGCCGGCGACGTGAGCCAACATGTTCCTCTGTGCTGAAGCCGGCCTGGGCCGCTCCCAGCCACCACAGAGCACGGCCTCTCTCGTCCGGCCAATCAGCAGCTCCCTTGAAGCTGAGATTCGCAAGTGCCGCTCCAGGGTGGGAGTTTTCACCTCTGGCTGGCTCCATCCTCTGAGCAGTGGCTCCAACACAGCCACCGTGCTCGGGGCGCCGCGGCTCACCTGCTCCGAAGCCTCGCCTGGCCAGCCTCCTGGGCTCTGGCCCCCCGCGCTGGGCTCGGAACCGCGTGAAAGGGGGCAGCCCTGGAACCGTTCCAACGGGTCGATGTCCGCGAGGATGGCCCAGGGTGGCTCCAGACAGACGACCGCCAGTACCCACCCCCTTCGCCTCCGAGGCTGCAGCCCGGAGTCCATTCCGCGCAGACTCCGGTCCAGGTGGGCGCTGTCCCCCAGGGAGGCGGGGAAGGGAGGCTGGAGCCTGGGTTCCCGGCAGGGGTTCCCCGCCTCCTTCGGGGCCTGGGGCCGGGCTTTCTGCTTGGCCTGGGGGACCCCTCATGGGCTTCAGGAAACCCCCTGGGGGCTGGCCCCAGGAAGTCCAGGCTTCCCCTGTATGGTGTGGCCGCAGACCTCGGAGTGGCCAGACCCCCCTGGGGCCGGGCCCGCTCGCCCCCCATAGGGAGTGGGGCTTCCTGCCGCGAGGCCTCTGCCCTCCCAGTGCCAGGCACTGCCCAGAGGCCCCAAGTGCTCGATCTCATTTAATCCTCACATCTAGCCTGTGAGGTCGAACCTATTCTTTTTTTATTATTATTATTTTTTGAGTCGGAGTCTCACTCTGTCGCCCAGACTGGAGTCCAGTGGCCGCTCCCGGCCACCGCAGCCTCCACCCGCTGGGCTCCGGC